ACAATTACGCAATTTCATCAATCATCTTTCAAGGTTTATTACATAATTTACTAAAAGTAAATATGCTCGGGGTCGGTGTTACACAAGTACATCATAAGCAAAATTATAAATAATTTAGATGCATATTCGTTGCAATTCAGTCCAAAACGGTTTTGGCAATTAACTTGAAAGCTTGGAGGGTTTACAATGATTATCATACATTTCAAAGTATATTTCTTGATGAAAAATGAAAAAGCATTGAGTTAGCATTTCTTATTGATGAAAGCGTACATTCACTATTTTAATTCTCTTAAAACTCCGATAAACAGGTTTACTAATTGCTCACATAGCCAAAACCAAATGCTGAGATTGTTTTCCGCGCATAACGAACTTAATCTTTATACAAAATTATTGGCCCACGGAAATATGTCATTCAAAATACTACAAGGTCATTGAATGTACATTTTTAAAATAACAAAACATGAGTAAGAAATTTTAAATATAATGTTCCTATAAAATTGATATACTTCACAACTTCTGCGACATCTCAAGTTCAGTTTAAGATCATTGATGACGATATCTCCTATCAACAAGTTCAATTAAAAAATTATTGTTTTTAAATGATTTTAAGAACAATTAATACTGCTATAGAAAATGTTTAATTAGCTAGGCATGACTTAGATACGACTTGAGTAAAGATTACCTATTCTAACTTCTCAAAAATATACTCGGTGTATTCAACTTCTCAAAAATAACCACCTTTTCTAACTTGGATTTGTTCCGGTATCACCTATACGAGTGGAGTATAAAATTGTCAAATTCAAACAATAAACAAAAGGATTGGAAACAAATAAAGGACTTATAAATGTGAGCCTTAGAAGTACTCAACCGTTTTCTCAGTATATGCCTGACCTTATCAAGAAAACAAAACGTGTCTTTATCTCATACTATCACTTTATTTAATCTTTAAAAAAGCTTAATTTTTTCTATGAATTAATACCTTAAAATTAATTATATTTGTTGGCCTTGAAACTGCTGGATATGTTCGGCCTAAAAAGGGAATAAGCTTCTCCAGATAAATACGATTCAAACTCAACATGCATCTGTGAATAAACATACGAGAAACAAAATCCACAATCTGAAAGTTTGATAAACATTTTAGAAATGGTAAATCGCAGGAAATTACTGATTCAGCTACTTTGACTCACTCTCTTTTCCACATCAATGGAGGTGTTCGATATTTTCTGTAGCTTCGTTGATAGAGGTGGTTGAGAGCATTTCCCACTTCTAAGTTACGTGATAAAAGAATCGAAAGATGGAATGAAGGTGGAAGACGATGGCCATAGAGGAGGGTGGGTTTAGTTTAGGCTAAGGAGACCGTAGGTCTGCTGGGCGCCATGCTAAGCTAAACCTAAAAGACTAATGTAGTTATAGTGTATGGGCTGTATGTTTAATATTATTGGCCCATAAAGCTTCACAAGTTGGGCTGCTAAAACAATTGATGTTTTTAAAATGCAATATAATGACCTTGAATTCTTAACTTGAAATGGTATAATCCCTCCGTCCCACGCAAAATTGCCTACATTGATTTGAGTTTGGAATAACAAGTAAAATTACTCTGTATATGGAGAAATAATGAGAGCCACAAATTAATTATTTCAAAAAAAAGTGACAATTTTTTTGTATAGACAAAAATAGATAGTTGATAAAGTTCAATGAGACGAAGGGAATATATTATTACGTCTTCTACCATGTTACGTCTTCACGGTATAATTACATATAATTTAAAAAAATAAAAAAATACGACCAAGTAAAATGACACGAAGTATGTATTATATTGTAGATAAATGAGAATGAGGAGACTATATATAACAAATTTAAAGGTATGTGTGTACACACACTACGATTTTAGATACATGAGACTTTTCGATTAGTTTTTGTATAAGGAATTTCATAATGAATATAGTAAAAAAAGTTAAATATCCTTGATATAACAAATTTAAAGGTGTGTGTGTACACACACACTACGATTTTAGATACATGCCCCACAACTATACTATTTTAATGTTTATGATAATTGCCAATAACATTTTTGTGATTAAAAAAGACATAAAACATACTAAAAAAGACTAGGAAAACAATTTTAATTTCATACTTGACATTTGTACACACAAAAAATTCAACTACTATTAAAAATTTACATTTTGGTGTAGTTGTAGGTTGAGACATCCCATAATAGTAGGGGTGACATTGTCAGCTGGAGAAGATAGCAGACAAGAGAAAATAAGGGGTAAGATTGCTGCCTAAGGAACCAGAGGAGAATGGGGGTTGAATTATCGTTCTGAGAAGGGGATAGACGAGAAGAATTAGGGGTGGATTATCGATTGGTGCATTTGAGTGTAGAGTGATTTTGAGTTGTGGGTTAGGGCCTTAGGGGTGGACTGGAAAACAATTTTTGGGTTGAGGGATCCTTATAAAAAGAAATACCTCCTTTTTTGTTGAGCTGTGTATTTCTTATAAAAATAATAAGTGATTGAATTAATAAGAGATGAAAGATGAAAATGGCATCAAGTGGTAAGCGAAAGGGGAGAAAGTGGCATCAAGTGACAACGACTTGGGGAAGGACAAGTAAAAATTAATGCTGATGCGGCCTTTGACACAAACAATGGTACCCGATCATGGGTCTGGGTAGTCAGAGACAACATGGGGCGGTTCATTTCTGCAGGTTGTCAAAAAATCTGTGCAGTCTGGAAGGCTGAGGTGACGGAGACTTTAGGGGTCAGAGAAGCATTAACTTGGGCCAAAATGCAGCAGTGGACACAAGTGCACGTCGAGACAAACTCTTTAATGGTAGCCTCCGGAATCACGAGGAAGAGGGCGAGTCTTATATTAACACAGTCCTTGACGATATAAGATACATTCTTCAAAAAGAAGCTAAAATGGAAGTCATCCACTGTAGAAGATCCACGAACAGTGTGACTCATGTTCTGGCAAATGCGGCACTTTCAATGACAGATAATTCTTTGTATTTTTCTTTTCCTTCCGATTGCATTGTACTTCACATGGAGAATGATTTATTGCAGTAATATATGATCATTTTCAGCCAAAAAAGTGAGATGAAAGATGAAAAAGAAAATTCAATACGTATATTGATGTATTTAAATAAACTAAAAATTTTCAAATTAAGTGGAGCAAATAAAACTTCCAAAAAGAATACAAGCGCAACAAAGAATAAGGAGTATTTATTTAATTCTCATAGTGAGTAGTAGACCTTTTGGTTAGACTTAAATGATTAAATTAATTGAAATTTTTTAATTAATGAATTATATGAAAATCTTTAATACCAAGAGTGTAGGTAAAAATAATAATACCATGAATATCTTTATCATGTCAACTTCAAACTTTCTTTTAAAATTTCCAATGTGAAAATATTAAATATTAAGAAAATGTATTAGCCATGGACTAATATTAATCGTCTCAAGGTCTACAAATTATTTTGATATTAAAATACTTATTCAAGGCGAAGATGAGAGACCTCGGTAAGAGACCACAAGTGTGGTATACAAAGTGTTTTATAACATGTAGTGCTGACTATACTGCACAAAATTTGATACTTACTAATCCTTTTTTTGTCACAACTGTAATTTTCTTTATAATGGCGAACAATCACATTTATTTCCAACAATCATTTTATTTAACCATTTTAAATTGTCTTAGATTTTTTATAACAAATACTCATATAAGTACTTTTTTGAAATATTCACACACCGTGCATCGCACGGGGGCTATACTAGTCTTTCTTAACAATAAAGCCCAATTGATTGTAACACAATGCATATTGTAAAATTGATGAATGTTCATTTTAAATGTAATGATAGAAAAGTATAACATTAATCGCTCAAAATAACACATAAGAATCATTAATAGTTGAATCCAATACATAACAACCAAACATAAAATCTAATAGCAAATTGTTTAAATATAAAACTTAGTTAAATAGAATAATGAAGATGTTTCAATCAGATTATCATTAACTTTAATATTTCAGAATTCAAATTGAGTCAATTTTAGGAAGAATTTTATAATTATTGAAATAAAGAAAAAAGATGGAAGGGAGAAGAAGTCCAGGTCCGCAAGGAGCAAGAGCAACCGAGCAACATCGTGAGAGCACGATGCACGGAGTTCAAAGATCTATAATAATTGGGCTGAAAGTTGTAATGAATTACAAAAATACCCAGAGGTATATTATAATTTGTGGTTGAACTCCCAATATCACACTTTTTTACTCCATATATTTTACTCCTATTTAAGAAAATAGAGAATTAACTTATTCTTCTTTAATTAATATTTTCTATGTCTCTTATAACTTTGCCAACTTTTCTTTTTTAGATATCCATTAACTTTGTCACTTTCCCTTTTAAGTAAAAAATTTGTGGTTCCAGTTAATTCTCTCTCCTTCGCACAAATTTCAACCATACAGTTTTTATTTTATTAATCACCGTGTCGGTTAAACTTGGCAAAGTTATTAGGGACGGAGAGAGTATATCCGGTAGAAATCACAAAGCAACCCTTTTTAAATACTCCGTATATAGTAAAAACACGCTACGCCGGTGGACGTAGCCCAACTGATAGGTAGAGATGCCACAAGGGGTAAGTCTCAGATTTGAATTCCGTTAACCGCGATAGAGATTACTATGCTAAAAATGAATAGAACTTAATAAGTATGAGGCCAGAAACCACTCTCTATTGTCCGCTTGTCGTTAAAGTCTCACTTAAATCCTCTCGGCTAACCTTTTTTTTTAGTAAAGACACGCTACAGTATGGCCTGACAAACTGTGGGGCAATTCAATAAGGGAACCAAGGCTTGGAGATAGGGCATTTAGTTGCTGTAGGTATCATATCAGTAGTGTTTCGGTTAACAGAGGAGCTGATGGGACGGTTGTCAATCTGAGAAGGTCAGTTTGGTAAATTTCCTAGTCAGTCTTATGTATCTAGTAAGTCTCCTGACTCTCCTCTTTCAGATTTCTTCCCTGCAAATTAAAGTATATAGTAGTACTTCCCGCAGACCGAGAGAGAGCAGAAGATAAAAAAAGTAACTAACTACCTACAAGGCTACAACTGCAAACCAGGCATCTTTTTTATTCTTTTTCTTCTAAATCACGCAGGAATTCAGTCATAATTTAAAATCTTCCTTGAAGCTTGTTCCAAGAATAGTTTTCATTGTTGCTTAGAAAGATGACCGTCGAGGGAGAGACAAGATTTTGAACCAGAATGAAGCACTGATGACTGTTAAGAGCAGAGGAGTTGCCGTCTCCGGCGGAGGGATGGTTCCCAAAAGTGTAATCATTTCCAAGAGTTGGACACTTTTGCTATGTATTAGCAGCTTCTGTGCGGGAGCTTTCTTCACCAACAGGTAAAATTTAAAAAGTTTGCATCTTTTTCATTTCTATGGGATTTTACTGAATTTGAAATTTTACTGCTTGTGAGATCATTATGTTCAAGTGGGCAGTGGCTATCATATTGTGTGTCTTTGAGATCCAGTTTTTTAAATGATGTTCATGTACTGTTATATTGATCTGGTTCACTGATTTTAGTCGGAGCTTCTTACTTCTTATATGTTTAACATAAACAACAACACCATCCAAGCCGTATTCCCAAATCGTATATATTTAACATAAAAGATATAAATTTCAACATAGCTATTTCTCCTATCAAGTTAACTAACACAGCAGTATCTCCTCAAAGCTCTTTTATGATCAAACGAACAACTTGATTCAACTTAGATTTAAAATGATCACACCGATTGCTCGAGCAAGACACCATGTCATCATGGTGTTTCATTATCCTGTGAGGGGGGTGTGGATCTACATAATTTTACAGTTTTCTTCGCGTTGAAGAAACCAATGACTTTTCCTCAAAATAAAACAATGACTTCTTGAAACTACTTGAACAAATTTCTTGGTTCTTCTTTCCAACGTAATTTTGAATCTTCTTTTAAAAACAAAAAGTCCAGTCTTGTTAATTTTCCCTTCAATGGTCTGTTTCACTTTAGACTTTTTGACCAAAGCACACATTGAGTTCATCTGTGGACTTCAATATTCATATGCTATGAACATTGAGTTATTTACTTCGCCGACCAAAAGCTAACCATTTTAATAAGGATTGCCCCGCTTGGGATGACTTCTTATTCCCAGGAATAAGGGAATTAATGGAAAATGTTCGCTGCAATCTCCAATTTCTGATATTGCATGAGTGACAAACCCTCCTTATTCAATATGGTATTACGGAATTGGTGGTAACTCAATTTCCCAGTAATTTATTCCTTACCACCAAATCATTCCAAATGGGCCTTAGATTATGGTTTAGCTATAAGCCTATAATGATGCAAATAATTAACTTGTGACAGGATGTGGACCATTCCTGAGCCGAAAGGGATTACAATAAGAACTGCAGTTGAAGCTGAAGGTCTGAAGTCTATGATATCTGAAGGTTGTGGTACAAAATATGTGAGCATCCCTTTCTCTCCACTTTTTAATTGTTACTGTTAAAATAAATGCTTTCAAAAATGAATTTCCATTGGCAAACGTTGCTGATATCTCTCTAATATCGTCTAGTTGCAGCCAAAAGATGTAAAACTATATAAAGACATTACTGGGGAAGTTTCAAAAACACATTATGCCATTCAGTGAGTTGTGCTTCATCATCCCATATAATCATATTCCTCCCTTTTCGTCATTCATATTAGTATTATAGTAATAATAATTATTGTTATTATTATACTCATTATTGTGTGCATAAAAGTAAACATACATTGTGGTGCAGGACACTTGACAAAACAGTTTCAAATTTGGAGATGGAGTTGGCTGCTGCAAAGGCGGAAGCTCAAGAATTAGTTCTTAGTGGCTCCCCTCATATGTCAGAGGATGTTAGTCCAACCAAAAGAAGAAAATATTTTATGGTTATAGGAATAAATACTGCCTTTAGTAGCAGAAAAAGAAGAGATTCCGTTCGCACCACTTGGATGCCCCAAGGTTTATTTTCTTCTGTAATTTGTTCATGGTAATGCTTACAAAGAGAACATTATGAAGTAGGAAAAAGGAAATGTTGAAGAAGTTGTGATATGCCACTTATATGAAATAATAAACTGACATAAGACTTTTAAGCTACTTATATTGACATATGGAGTATAAGACTAGTCCACAATCCCCCAAATAAAAGACTTCTAGCAAAAGGAAATTACATTAAGAAATCATATAAAAATTCATTGTTGATTTTGAATCATAGTTATATTATCAACATATACAATTTTTTGTTTATTTTATTTGTCACACACAATGTCTCATTTCCCTTTTTAATGCGAGAAAATAGGCGAGAAGAGGAAGAAGCTAGAAGAAGAAAAAGGAATCATCATTCGCTTTGTTATAGGTCATGGGTAAGGAAGCGTCTACCTCTTTTGATTAAATGCCTTTTATTTTTATGGGTTTTAATAATTAATAGAAAAATAATTCATTTGACCTGCAGTGCTACAGTTGGTGGTATACTAGACAGAGCTATTGAAGCTGAGGATAAAAAACATGGAGATTTCTTGAGGCTGGTAATACTTGTTAAAACACGGGATTATATAAAAAAACTATATCAGCTTGCAAAAATCTTGATGTATGTCTGTTTAATTAGGATCATGTGGAGGGGTATCTTGAGTTGTCTGCAAAGACAAAGACTTATTTTTCCACTGCTGTTAAGTTATGGGATGCAGAGTACTACATCAAAGTTGATGATGATGTCCATGTAAATATAGGTATTCAATTGTCTTTAGAGTAATTGTGCAACCTTTTTCTTGTCTTAGTAAAAAAATGGTCACAGTTATGGGTGAATTCAACGGTTACAGGAACATTAGGGGAAACACTAGCCAGGCATCGGAAGAAACCACGAGTGTATATTGGCTGCATGAAATCTGGTCCTGTTCTTTCTCAAAAGTAAGCAAACTCCAATTTACATATTTGTGAAAAACTGAGTTAGACCCAACCTGTTTCAACCCATTGTTTGGTTTAGAGGAATTGCCTTAGATAAGAGTAATAAGTAGTAATTTTTTCTAAATAGGAGTACGTCTACAGAATTCCCTTCTTTGCGGTATATAACTCCTCAAACAGGAACTTAATTTTTGTGGACATTTGTCCTGTAAAGGTATTGTCAAGATGTAGCTTGGCAGTACTTCCCTTATTTCATAAGTCTAATGATTATACCTTAAGTCCTTGAATTCTAACGACTCTAGAGTTATCACACAATTACTCATAGTACTGTTACTCTACTCTGAATTCTGACGATACATCTGAACTCTAATGGTCACAAACTTGAGAGTACTCACCCTAGGCAGATAAACTAAATTTAGTGAAAAATGAAAAGTAGAAATAGAATTAGCTTGAATAAGATCTCACAAAATTTTCATGGTACAGGGGAGTGAGGTACCATGAACCTGAGTATTGGAAGTTTGGGGAGAATGGAAACAGATATTTCCGTCATGCCACTGGACAATTATATGCCATCTCAAAGGACTTAGCTACGTATATATCACTTAACCAGTTAAGCTCTTTTTATTTACTTATCATCATAATGATATAAACAAGGATAAGCTTTTTGCCTGCCTTTTATTTCTAAAAAGCAGGACAATAATTCTTTTTAATGTTGGATAGACATGTCCTCCACAAATATGCTAATGAAGATGTTTCATTGGGGTCTTGGTTTATTGGGCTCGATGTGCACCACATCGATGATAGAAGATTATGCTGTGGAACTCCACCTGGTAAAACTTCTCTATGTTATGCCACACATCAGAAACATGCCAAAAAACATAAACCAATAAATATATGATCCTGGACAACTCCTCAGTTTGATCATTTAGAATTAAGTACAATCTATGTTACAACTTTATGTATTTATTGATTATCTTTCATAGTTCCGCACTTTCACCACACCGTTTTGGTGCAGATTGTGAATGGAGGGCACAGGCAGGCAACATCTGTGTTGCCTCATTTGATTGGACCTGCAGTGGGATATGCAGGTCAGCTGATAGGATAAAGGAAGTCCACCGGCGGTGCGGTGAGGGAGAGAAAGTCCTCTGGAACGCTGCTTTTTGAATACACACATGTTTCTTCCCACCTCAGGAAGATGCATAATCACGAGTGCACCAAGCGTTTCACATATTATTTTCTATAGGTTGGAGTTATGGTTGGTGATCCCCATGGGGGAGAGAGATAGGAGGAAAGAATGACTAATGCTATATGGTCATCATGGTGTACACCATCCTTATAAAATTACCATTATATCCTCGCCCTATAGACTTTCTCATCCATCCATTTATGCAAGGATAGAACAGTAATTTTATATTGATGTTGTATATATATCATTGTATAATCAATGATGACCATTAAGCATATTTTTTGAGGAGATATATAGGGCTTAGCTGACTCTTCCAGAGTTTTTGGAATGGAATTCCAATTTTAGTGTATATGGGATTGTCTCTGCCAAAGCCGCTATGAAAATGCAGGCAGGGACTCTCTTGGCTAGCTAGCTCCTTTTAGTTTTCCTACTTGCCAACTGCCAAGAAGGCAGAATTGTGAGTGATAGTGTTCAATGGGTTGTGCATTCTTAATAAATGGATATGAATTACCTAATGTTCTTGGTGCTGAGATATTTTACTCAAATAAGTCTTTTCCAGCATAGTAATTTTTATTTATTTATTTATCACGCAGTAACTGTGGTCTGTGGGGGGTGAAGATAAATTTAGATGCATGGTCATTTACATAAATGAAATGAGTGTGTTAAAAATTCAATTTCAGCCCACTGTGGGTTAAAATGCAAGCCCTTTACTGTTGCAATAGCCTCATTGAATTAATGATTCAGATATGTGTTGACGTTAAAACATTTCTTTTCAATACATTCATTATGGACTTTTTAATATTTATACTAGAACTGTATATAAATAAATTTTTAGAATATATACCGCACATTGAACTTATGTCCTTTGACCCAACTTTTTATTTTTACAACTGTAGTATCATCTCTTTCATCAATCGTCACTGCAAAAAAATCACAGGATTGACACGGGTGTGGCATGGATTTAGTGATGATTTCATGCCAAATAACTCGTGCCAAAGTGGTTTTTGGCCTTTGGCACAGATTTGTCATTTCTCTGCCAAATCCTTTATGATTTTTTTCAAATCTATGTCAAAATCCCTGTCAATTATGTGTTCTTTTTGTGGTGTGTCTATTCCTATCAATTTTATCATTTGTAGTATTTAACAAAACTAATCTACGCAGTATATAATAACTTGCTGATATTAGTCATCTTTTCAACCTCTTGTTCCAAACATACGACATAATATATTGAAGATCCTTGCTATCGAGAGATCCACTGGCTGAGTTTGATACAACATATATAAAAAAGTTCATTTTATTACAATTTACAAAGCAACAATGTTGCAGTTTCATGGCTCAACATGCCCAAAATAAGTGCAACTGTATAGCCATTAAAAACTATTGTCACTTTTTATTCTAATAATGTCACATTTATTAGTCAAATCTTCTTTTCTCTTTTCTTTCTTACTCACTCTGTCACTCACCCCTTAAAAACAGCTTGACCTCATTCTCGTTGCAATAATGCCCACACCTAGAAAGGGATAGCATATAATTGAATGGGTCCTAGTCAAAGTAAGAAGGGAGAACTACCAAATAAGTCCTAAAGTGTGCAGTATATTTCAGAAAATCATTTGACTGTCTTCTCGATTGAATTTTTAGTTGAAATTTGGTATGCGTAAACTAGACTTAATGAAGAAGATGCTCAAAAAATTTTATCAAAAAATTCTACCGAAAATCGCTCCAAATAACAACAGCCGGACAAAGCCTCCTGTAAAAAAGCTTATTTGCATTTTTTATGAAAGTTTGAGGGCATATTTTAAACAAATGCGGATTGATAGATAACGACTCGCCTTATTGGAACTGCAACTCAATGAGAAACAGAGAGATGCACATGCCGTAAGAGAGTAACGATCCAACATTGAATCTATACTAAAAAATATATTTTAGTGTCCCCTAAAGAAAAAAATTATGGGTTTGGTATTATTATTATTCTTTGTACACCAATCATAACGATGCAAGATAACCTTTATCACAAAGTGTAAAGAAAAACGTTTGATTATAAGTGATGTTGTAATTACTTTTCTAATTGAATTGATTGAATTAGCTACAGATGACTATTTTAATTGTTTTTAATGTATTTTTTTACTTTATTAATAAATACAAAAAGTACTTTAAAATAATTTTTGTTATTACAACAAATTCAACCATTTAGCCATTTCACTCATAATTTTACCAATTCTAATAGATAAGCCTTAAAGTGCATAAAAATTGCCAAACACCTGTCAAATTGGCTGTGATGGCTGAATTTTCTTATGAGCCGAAAAAACTAGTTTAGACTTGCTTCTTGAGCTGATGTTTATTATTTTACCATTGTCTATTGCAAAGTCACCTTTACCCTTCTATTGTGCCTGGAATGCATCTTCCATTGCTCCAGATCCGAAATCGACATTTAACATATTCTTCCACTGGACTAGTCAGCTGCCTCAAAGTCTATCCTTCCAGACCAAAAACTCTTGCTCAGCTGCTCCATGTTCATGAAGGTAAACGGTGCTCCATGTCCAGATCAAAGACTCTTCTTCTTCTTCTTCTTCTTCAATTCTCCTTAGACCCACTCTCACTCCTATTTCTTCCCGAAATATATGACAATGGTTACTAGTAGTAGTTGATTTTTTTGTAGTGATTATTTGTAGTTGTTGATAAATTGATGCTGTGAGAAGGTCCTTGGATTCGTGTTGATGGAGTATATTCCCATATATCCCAGGGGTACCATAATCGTCGGTAGAAAGCATCGCAGATCCGCCAGAGACAAGAAAATACCAAGTCCACAATCTGGGCCCGACACCGACCGCCGAGGTCAGGAACAGCGAGCTCAGGAATCAATCAAACTCAGCAGCTAACGGAGTCAACCGACCCCGACCCCGACCCCGACCCCGACCTCGAGGTCGGGAAAATATCGAGCTCAGGAATCAATCAAACTCGGCGGGTTATGAGCCCGACCTCGAGACACCCGAGGTCGGTACCAAGTCTGACCCTGAAAGCCCAACTCCGGGTCAACGACAATCGAGCGTCAGACAGTTGACCACCGCCGAGGTGGGAACAGAAGATAGCAGGGCGTATCCTCTCAGCATGAGCCCGAGCCCCCGGGCGGCGACCTCAGTGATTCCTAAGATCGGAAGGAAGCACCTCACACTTAGACAAAACCCACACAGACTTGACTCGAGGAAAACATCGCCACGTCATCCTCCGTATCAAAGAATATTCCAGACTACCCGCACACGATCATACGAGATCCTTGACAGGAATTCTGTTAGAAGAATAATCAATCAGCCAGCTATCAAGGGCTCTCTCTCTCTCCAATCAGCTCTCCACGTGGTGGCTCCCGGTTCATTAGGTCTGGTAGTTTGTTAGAATAGCTTTACACGTGTCTCTCTTTTATTAGACTAGCTCCTTTTGCTTGGCTGCCAAGTATTTCCTTTTCTCCTTAGTATAAATATCTCCTTCCGGCTTGTGGAAGGAGGTTCTGAACTTTCGCTTCTAAGTACTCGATTTACTGCACTTCTGAGAAAATACATTGAGATTTCACTAGTTTGCTCTCCTTCATTCTTATTTCGGTGGATTCCGGCCACCCCTGGTCCGACGATCCATCACCTGTTTCTAGGCTTTGCTCAATATCATTTTTAATTGAATTGTTTGATGTTATTTATTCTTGTAAGAGTTCTTAAGAACAGAATACAATAAGAAAATTATAAAAGAAGGTCTAGGAGTTGTCGAATTGGCCTGATAATTTTTTTACGAAATAAGCATGAGTATTTTTTTACAAGAAATGAAAACATTAGCCTCTTGTAAACCCTTCGATGTATTCCCCCACATTTGAAAGAAATAGTTGTGAATCACAAAATATGCATAACATACCCTTTATGGTAATTTTACTTTCAATCAGTCATTTCAGACAATATATTACGTATCAAACACTTTCACTTCAGCAGATTCAGTCATTTCAGCCTTTTCAGCCATTGCACCCGTTACCAAACAGGCTCTTAATGGATTCAGTGAACATTACCCAACAACTCGTAGATATAAAAGGTATCAAAGGTAATAGGCACAGTAGACTTTTGAGTATTAATTTAAAATTTTATGTAAACAATTCAATGTAGACAACGAACATATGCTTCTTGTAAGACCTTCATCCCATATATAACATAAAATTCCTAAATAATATTCCCTCCGTTTCTAAACTCACACTTTCCTTTTTGAGATATTTCAAAAACAAAGTCACACTTCCCTTATTTCCTTATTGAGTAAATTCTTTAAATATGAGTAAAAAAGTTTTCATCATAATCATCATTTTCATTTACCCTAGTGCCGCAGAGTAAAAAGTTTTGAAATTCCAAAATAGGATCATATTTTTTATTCCCTAAATAAGAGTAAATTTCTGCCAAGTTAGGCATTACTAGGCTTTTAAACATGACATTTTTTTTCAAACTTGGTAGATTACTCCTATTAAAGGAATAAAAAAACATGATACTCTTATTTTGGAATTTCAAAGCGTTTTTACTCCTATTTAGGGCAATTTCTATTCCTTATTTGGCAAAGAAATCTACATCCAAACAGTGCCAAACAATATCCAAATAGTGCCAAACAGTGTTTTCTACAGTAAAGTCAATTTATTTCCTTAATAATTGGGAAGTCAAACCGTTACTTTCTTTTGGAAACGGAGGGAGTATAAAATGAATGTGAGTTTGGTGCAAATTTAATGAAAATAAAAGATAAAATAATTGTTTTACTATGCTAACCTCCACAACGTAAGAAAGAGAAAAAGATCCACAATTAGTAAAAGGTGAAATAATACTCGATAATAGATAAAAGGGAAAAGGGACAAATATACCCTCAAATTAAATGAAAAACTGCAAATCGCACCTTTTATAGGAGCCTATGTCCGGTCGTCGCCATTTGGGGTGGATACCGGTGGAATTTTTTTATAATTTTTTTAGCATCTTCTTCATTAAATCTAGTTTACCCATACCAAATTTCAGCTAAAAATGAATCGGGAAGGCAGTCAAATAATTTTTTGAAGATAACTGCGCAGTTAAAGAGCGCAGTATATTTCAGAAAATCATTTGACTGCTCAAAAAATTTTTAGCTGAAATTTGGTATGTGTATACTAGACTTAATGAAGAAGATGATCAAAAAAATTCATCAAAAACATCCACCGGGAACCTCCCCAAATGACGACGGATGGACAGAGCCTCCTATAAAAGGGGTGATTTGCACTTTTTCGTTTATTTCGAGAGCTTATTTGCACCTTTTCCCTAGATAAAAAGATAAAGTAGAAAAGTATCAAACTAATAGTTAAATAAGGAAAGTGTTCATATTTTTTGGATAACCCAAAAAAAGTGTATCTTTCAAAACGGTTCGTATACCGTGGGATCATCCTACGGTGAGCATCGTGCTCCACTTCCACGTGGGATCATCCTACGGTGAGCATCGTGCTCCACTTCCAAAACGACGTAGCTTTGCACAATTTTTTTTAAAACATTCGCATGAACAGTACACGCGTGTACAGTAACTGTTTTTTCTTTCTTTTTGTCCCAATAGCATGAAT